GAGGAAGGAGGTGGTAGGAGTCAATATAAAGTATTTTTTCTTCTGGCCTTGTCCCTGGTATCCACAGGCCACTGGATTTGTGAACTTACCCTACTCATTACATTCTGTAGAACCACAGCTAGCTCATTTAGTCATTGAGCTATGTAACACACTACACTGAGCTAAGGTGAAGTCAAAGGAAATATCTGGACTTCAAATTCCAGAAGCTCAGTTAAAAGACAGGACAGAAAGGTTAAAAGACTAAACTCTGAATTTTAGGTTCAAATATTGACTTCTTCATGTATCTTCTGCATTTGGGAAATTAAACTAGTTACTTCATGTATCTTCTGCATTTGGGAAATTAAACTAGTTACTTAAATGATAGTTTTTTTCATTTGTGAAATTGGAATGATACTGTGCCTCTGTAGAGTTGTAAGGGGTAAGTGAAATGATGTGTATATAGCTGTTAGTCTGTACATAATAGACAGTGTTAGCAAATAAAGTAAAAATAAAATTAGCAAACCAACACAAGCATAGGCAGATCTCTGATTTCTCGGATTCCTGAGCACTAATTCTTTATTTCAGAGCTTGTGATCTTTGACTATATATTTTTTTTTGTATTTTATGAAATTCTGTCTTCCATTATTTAACAACAAATTGTGGTGTGCATGGCTTGTTCACCCAGCTAGACTTTCTGGAAAACAGATCTTATTCTTCATTTGTAGCACACTAAGTATATAGCAAATCCTACGTCTAACAGGAATAAATCAATTAGAATTTTTTAGTAAGTGCATAAAGAGAAATAAAAGTGCAAAAAAATGAGTTTCTGTTACTTTGAGGTATTTCTGTTTACTCCAAGGCCAAGGATGAGAGTCTGACTCAGCTTCTTATCAGGCCTTTGGCCTTTCTCTGCCCCCCAGCATACCCAGAAAATACAACTACTAAATAAAGCTAAGTAGAGAAACTCTTCACAAACTTAACAAACTAACAAATTTTCACACTCAAAAATTCTCAGTTCAATACTTCCCCAGCTCCTCATCTCCCCCCCATACCCACCCACTCAATTTAGTCAACCTACCCCATCCCAACACACATTCATTTCATTTACCTCTACTTCTGTGATGCTCCAGCTCCTCACTGCTTGTCTGACCCATAGGCTTAGCCCCACCTCAGGTACATGTATAGACACAGGCTTTGGAGGCAGGCAAAGCTAAGTTCAAATTCAGATCTATCACCTTCTAGGTATACGATGTAATGTTCATTGACTTAACTTCTGTGTGCCTTGGTTTTTTGATCTGTTAATTGGGTATAATAATAACTGCCTCATGGTTACATTATAGCTAAATCACCTAGCTTGTCAATTCCCTAATTTACATTCCCAAACTTTCTGGAAGTTCTTGCCCCTTCAGATACATCTTAGAGCATAAGCCATAGAAGGAAGGTCTAATCTGATGGACTCCCTCCCTCTTGCTTCTCAACATCACCCTCATACTGGGCATTCTCCTAACTCTAATCACTTACACAGCAACCTCAGCCCTCTCCTGCTCCCAAAGATTGGAGCCCCTACTTTCTGTCCTGGCCAGCTTCCCAACCCACTTCTGCCCAGGGACTAGAGCCACCCTGTGAGAACAGTGACTACCACAAAGCCTGCCACCTGCCCTACTGCAGTTTGTAGCCCACCAGGGCTCCGCCTACCTGATGTCTTGAGCTTGTACTGCCCTCACCATGCCAGTAGCTGTAATCCTGACCATTGTTCCCTCTCCTCCTGCTACATGATGATGTGTAAGTTGTAATGGTGAACAAGTTAGCCTCCATCCAGAGTCCCTGCCAAAGCTCCTGTGTGAGTTTGGCTTCAGAGATCACAATGCTTCCTTCTCAGTATCCTCAGTGATCGTAGCTCTTCACGAACCAGGATAAATTTGATGTCTGTAAAGTGCCAAGGGTAGTGAATGAACAGTAAGCAGTGGATTGTTGTAATAGAGAGAACCAGGGTCTGGAGTAGTCCAGTCCAGTCCCTTCTTTCAATGAGTAAGTCACTTCTCTGAGGATTTCTTAGTGTCCTCATCTATAATATACCACCTGAGAGAATTACAATGGAGATCAATGAGATGGTAATGAAAGTCAAATCAAATGGTAATTATCATTATCATTAACCTCTCAAAGACTCTCTCCTAGGACTGCCAGGCTATAAACTCTCTGAGAATTGAAACTGCTGCCACCTTATTCAACAACATATCCCTAGGGCCTTAGCCCTGTATTTGAAACAGAGTGGGCTTTCCATAAATACCTGCTGACTTGCCAGCCCTTGCTGAGTTCCCTCTTTCCAATAAGGAGGTTACATATGACCATGTTAAGCCCCTTTTCTCATCAGCTGTGAAATGCTGTCCACTCACAGCATAGTGTAGGGGAGGTATTAACCTTTCATGTTTTAATAAAAAAATGAGACTTAACCATAATGAAATGAGTCTAGCTTTCTTTGTCTCATATATCAGGTATGAAAAGCAACCCTAAAACAAGAATTCAAAAAATGTTTAAAGTAATAGCAAATTCACCAGAAAAACCCCTTTGAAAAGAATAATACTCAGTAGGCAGATTAAGTTCTTGAATGTTTAGATAAAAATAAATAAATAAAAAGAGTCCTGGGTGGTGCACTGCCAGGCCCAGCTCATTAGAAAAGAGAATCCTTGCCATAAGGGGACAAATCCAGCAAGAGACAGCCCCAAATGTGGTGGGAAGAGCCTGGTAATTATATCAATGGTGCCATGGGTCAAGAGGTGAAACAGAGAAGAGAGGAGGTGGGGCAGGGCTGGGCTGAACCTAGGATGAATCAAGTTTTACCTGTCGGGTGGGGACATCCTGTCTAAAATACGAGCTCGATTAAATCCCCTATAAAAGGTTCTCTTTCCTCTGACCTGGTACTCCACACACTGCTTAACAGCCACTTGTTTCATCCTGCCTAGACATTAGGTAAGTTCCTTCTTGAAGAACCTCTTTCTCATTCTCGGTATTTTGGTGATTGGAGCTCATATGTCAGTTATGAGCTGTATATCCGGCACTGCTGGTTGTGGGTAGAAAGTGCCCTGTTTGATTGGGCCTCAGGCAAACCAGGAGCCAGAGCACATTGGGAAACGATGCTCTCCTGAAGCAATCCAGCTTTCTCCTCCTCCCAGAGGTTGGCCTGGTAGCGGCTCCTCTCACTGGGAGTCTCTGTGGGCAGCAGAAACAGTGCCACCTGCAACAGAGCCATCCACACACCTTCCAGGTCAGCAAAGGTCTCTTGTTCCTAAGGTTCTGGAAGTTTTTTTTGCAGTGCTGAGAGTCTGTGGAATCAAAATCAGTTTGCTTGTACCAACACAGGTAATGAGCTCAAGTTGTCTCATGGAATAAGGGATTTACATGATTCTCCTCCCCACCCAAGGTGATATTTAGGCAAGATGAGTTTGAAGATTACTTCTAAGACTCTGAAATGTCACTAGCAGATTCTTTTTATTATTTTTACTACTTAGAGGTCAGTGGTTATAGTCTACCACATGGTTTTAAAAAAGGATATTTTTCATCTATGTTGAAGAAAAACATTCTGAGTTATATACTCTGATGTATATACCAGAGGAAAGAGTAGTTGTACTTTTTGGCCTTTAGGTCACAGAAAGGTTGCCACCTACAACCCATCTGGGATCTATACCTGCTCAATCCTTCTGGCCACACTGACTTGCATTTTCTAGGACCCAAGTCTTCTTCCTTCTCTTACTCTCTTGCTCTATAACCATGTCATCTTCTCCCAATGTTCTTCTCCTTTTTCATCTCCAAGGTCTTTGCCCTGGTTTTCCAGGTGTTGAACATTTCCATCTTGCATTGTACTTGGATCATGTCATCCTTGATACTATCTCCTCCTTTTGGTTTCTCTAAGGCCTCTGCTTAACATAGCTCCTTGTCTCTATGCCTCTTACCCATTTAGTCACACCCAGGCATCGCCTCAACATACCTCCAGGATCCTGGTTAATGGAAATGAATATCTTCTCCTTCAATTGTAAGCCATTCCTCATAAGTCACCAGGACTCTAGGCCTGATGCCACATGCTTACTGTGCAAACTAACTTACCTGACACGTCCCCAGGGATGTGGGTAAAGGTCACATACAGAGCAATTTGTACTCTCAGAATTGAAAGCCCTCTTACCCATGGAAGACCTCTCCTCTTCGGCATTGCCACAACCTCTTCCTGAACACCTTCCCCAAAGGAGACAAGAGAGAACAGATGGGCCCCTGGAGTTCCTGATGGGTTCCCAGCAAGACAGAGGTTGATTCATGTGTGTAATTACTGCCTTTTGGTGGTCTCAGTAGGATCTTAACACCATTGTGACAGGTAAATGAACCCTGACCATAGGGTACATCCTAGAAAAACCATTGCATGTGAGTTAAGAAGAGATGGGTTCTAGGATTTCTTGATCCCTTAAAAGCAATGTGGTCTTAGGCAAATCTAAGTTCTCTGAGCCTGTTTCCTCAAAACCTATAAAAACAGTAGCGATAATGAGGATCATAAACTACCAAGCACAGGAGAGTGCTTTGAGAGCAGTAGAGTGTATACACTTGTACACAAATTATATATGTGTGTATGTGTATAGTAATAATTATTATTATATTTAATAGCTACCACTTAGCATAACTCAGGTACATGCCAAGAGTTTTTATGAATTATCCCCTTAAGTCTTCACAATAACCCTATAAAGTAAATATTACTATCACCTTTATACACAATGAGTAAACTAAGTCATGGAAAACAAAGCTACTTGTCCCAGCTCACAGGACAGGTAGGTGGGGCTGGCATTTAAATGCTTTCTCAGGAGCTTGCTTCCAGCTTCCAGTCATGGTGTTCTCCTCTGCATCATGGAGAAAAAGGGATGAAGGAAGGCAAAGAGACCAAAAGCAGAGTTGAAGACAGAAGGAAAGGTCCAAAACGCAGAAGCACTCTAGGAAAGAGCTGAGGCTGACCCACAAGGGATCTTTTCATCTTTTCCAGCTTAGCTTCACAGATGCCTCAGTTACTGCGAAACATTAATGGGATTATTGAAGCCTTCGGGCGCTATGCCAGGACAGAGGGCAACTGCATGGTGCTTACCCGTGGGGAGCTGAAGAGGCTTTTGGAGCATGAGTTTGCCGATGTCATAGTGGTATGATATGTGGTGGGTGGGGGGATAATATGGGCAGAGAAAACTTGTTTGCCTGCAGGGCTCTGACTGGGGTCTAGATAGGAAGATCACTGCTGCTTTCTGGCATTTCTTAAATTTCAGACAGCAAACATCTCCAATGTCTGTTTGAAATTTGATCATCATCAAGCATTTATCAGGAGCATAGCTCTTGCCTTGCACAAAGCAGTTGCTCAAAAATACAGGTTCACTGACCATATTAGGAATGAGATTTTGGAGCACATTAACAGCTGGGGGAGGATGAATCGGAGAGTCTCAGCTTACCCAGCAAACCAGAACAGGATCAGATGCACTCTCTTTCCTTTGGTTTGCATCTGAAGTAATGGGGATCATGTAGTCCCTGGGGACAAGGATGGGCACAGCAAAATGCTGCTTTTGTATGCTCAGAGGAGCTGGACCTCCCCCACTTCTTCTTGGGAAAACATTTGCACCTCAGCGAGAAGCTCTCTGAATTCTCCTGGGGCCAGCTTCCTGCTTTGTGTGGGGCTTGCTGCAAAGAATACAGCCTCACTGCCAGAGGCAAAGCTCAGGAGCCCAGATAGTTACATTATGAACACATCCATTCTTCAATGCATTTTTTTAATCCAATTGTCCTGTTGGTCAGAATTGTGCCTGACATAGAGTATATAAAATAAAAGGTGACTCCTTTCTTTGAGGGAGAGACACAGAACTAGTAAAGATGCAGGCAATTAAGTACGACCACTGCTACAGCAGTATGTGTAAGGGACGTGGTGGAGTCTGAGAGGTGGGCTTTCAGTGTGCAGGGGATGGGGAGCCTGGAAGGTGAATGGAGCTGACCCAACCATGTCCTCCTCTGGGGAGGGATACTAACTTAGCCTCATCTTCTCCCCAGAAACCCCATGATCCAGCCACTGTGGATGAAGTCCTATGCCTGCTGGATGAAGATAACACGGGGACTGTCGAATTCAAGGAATTCCTGGTCCTGGTGTTTAAAGTTGCCCAGGCCTGTTTTAAGACACAGAGTGAGAGTCCTGAGGGCGCTTGCAGATCTCAACAATCTGGAAGCTGCCATCCTGGGTCCTCAAAAGAGCTGGAGAAAGATCAGAACAGTAGGACCACAGTAGGAATAGATGGGAAAGGGCAGCATAATGAGGGGAGCAGCTGTGGACAAAGTGAGCAGACTTCCAGAGGACAGGGCAGGACTCAGACCCAGGGTCAGGATAGTAGTTCTTTACAAGTCAGCACCTATGACAGGCAGGCTGAGTCCCAGAGACAGGAGAGGGTGAACCAGCAGGCACAAGTAATGGGGCATGTGGAGCAGACTTCAAGAATAGAAGACAATAATCATCAAACCAGAGGGAGGAGTTTAGAGAGGCAATCACAAACCAGAGAACAGACAGGTGAGACCATGACTGGCACTGCGACTCAAACCCAGACAGGTATCTCTCTGACAGGAGGCACCAGCATCCAGACAGAGGAGTCCACCTATGGCCCAAGCAGAGGGACTGAGACCCATGGTCAAGACAGAGGCCAGATCAGTCAATCTGGGACAGGAGGGCACATCCAGACACAGGCAGGGTCATACTCCCAGACCATGGAGCATGACAGTAGCCATCAGACAGGAGGCACTGACATTCAGACACAGCAGTTCACCTATGGCTCAACCAGAGGGACTGAGATCCATGGTCAAGACAGGAGTCAGACCAGCCAGGCTGTGACAGGAGGGCACATCCAGATCCACACAGGGTCACATACTCAGGCACATACCCAGACCATAGAGCAGGACAGGAGCCATCAGACAGGAAGTACTGGAATCCAGACACAGGAGTATACCTGTGGCCAGACCAGAGGGACTGAGATTCATGGTCAAGACAGGTATCAGACCAGCCAGGCTGTGACAGGAGGGCACATCCAGACACAGGCAAGGTCATACACCCAGACCGGCATTCAGGCACAGCAGTTCACCTGTGGTCCAACCAGAGTGACTGAGGTCCATGGTCAAGATGGAAGCCAGACCAGCCAGGCAGTGACAGGAGGGCATATCCAGATCCATTCAGGGTCAAATACTCAGACACACACCCAGACCATGGAGCAGGACAGGAGTCATCAGATAGGAAGTACTGGAATCCAGACACAGGAGTACACCTATGGCCTAACCAGAGGGACTGAGACCCATGGTCAAGATGGGAGCCACACCAGCCAGGCTGGAAGAGGATACACCCAGACACAGATAGGGTCACATACTCAGACACACATCCAGACTGTGGAGCAGGACAGGAGTCATCAGACAGGAAGCACTGGAATCCAGGCACAGGAGTTTACTCGTGGCCAGACCATAGGCACTGAAATCCATGGCCAAGACAGGAGCCAGACCAGACAGATTGTGACAGGACACATCCAAACACAGGCAGGGTCACATACTCAGACATCCACCCAGACTGTGGAGCAGGATAGGAGACTTCAGACAGGAAGCACTGGCTTCCAGACACAGAAACCCACCTATGGCCACACTACACAGCCTAAGACCCATGGTCAAGACAGGAGCCAGACCAGCCATGCTGTGACAGGTGGGCAGATCCAGACACAGGCAGGGTCATATACTCAGACCATGGAACGGGACAGAAGCCAGACTGCAAGCTGTGCAGGAGCTGGAGAACAGGGACAGACCCAGATACAGTCAGGTAGCAGTCAAAGAGGGACAGACGTGAGCAGTTATGAGGCAGGAGAGCCAGTACTAGGAGGACAGGTCCAGATTGGGGCAAGTACTGTGACAGGAAGACAGGACTGGAGTAGCACTCATCCAAGTGTGACAGGAAGTCAGGGAGAGAGAGAGTCCACAGGGTTTAGAGAGGAGTGGGTCAATGACCACACAAGGGAGATAGTAATCCGAATTGAGGACCAGGGTAGCCTGCACTCAGGGGCTCTTCAGCACAGAGTCAGAGTGCAGCCAAGCCAGAAGTAAAGGGAGGCATCACAGCCAAGGGACTGTATTCCTACTTGAAAAACAATAATCCATAAGACAGCTAGCGAGGGACTGGGCTGTCCTGCCCTGGCCAATCCATTGGCATATCTTTGGATACCAGCCCTTAATCACGGTGCTTCCGTTTTACGTCTTTCTCAATGATCATTTCTGCAAAATGTTTTCTATCCTAAACTCTCTCTTACCCGCTTTGCTGGGCAGATCCTCTCAGAAAGAGGAAAACAGGGAGAAAGCAATTCCTTTGTTCTGAATTCTCCTCAGCTTATAGGGGTTTTCAGAGCTATTTTATCTCTGCCATCTGTCTACTGTCCCATCCATCCAAACATATCAATAAAACCTTCTTAAGCAGCTAACCTCAGTGTCCCCTTCTGTCTCCTATGTTGATAGGATGGGCTAAGGCTATATAGAGCCATGGTGATGATGAACTGGGCATAGTCCCATCCCCTAAGGAGAATCTAGCTGAGAAAACTTTGTATGAGATTCTGAGAGTTAGAAAGAGTCAAGAGAAGGAGATGTCATACCTCATACTTGCCAGAGATGGATCAGGGAAGCCTTCTTCTAGAAGGTACTTTCTTGTAATGGCCCTTGAAGGACAACTAGGATTTAGATAGATACAATTACTCTCAATCTTTACCTACCTCTAATCCTATAGTGATAAGTCTCTATTCACCTGTAAAGTCACACAGGACAGCTGATTTGAAGTTACTAATAAATGAAACAAGTCCTCCAAGAGCTGTTTTGGGGAAGGGAAGAAGGCAAATGAGTCAGGAGCCAGAACCCTGAGAATCCCTTTCCTATCTCCCACTCTGTGTCAGCTCTGACTTCTTGTGATGTCACACCCACTAGATATGAACAAGTTACAAGGTAGAAATTCTCAGTTCTGGCTTACTGTGAGAATCACCAAGGAAGAAATTATAAATTAAGAGTTTTAAACATGACCCTTGAGATGCTGATTCCCAAAGCTTGGAGTGAAGCCTTTACATATTGTTTAAATCTTAGGGTGATTTGTGCTTCTGGCCATACAGAAAACTAGATGCTCTGAAAGGCCTCCCAAACAAATAATTAGAACTTGCATAAAGTATAGTTTTCACTGCATTGTCAGTTTATGGGAAATAAGGGGAAGCTCCAAGGAAAAAACAAAATGTAGTAGGTTAAATAACTACCTCCAGAGATGTCCATCTCCCAGTCCTCAGGACCTGTGAATACATTACCTTATCTGGCAAAGGAGCTTTGCATATGTGATTAAGTTAAGGATACTGAGGTAAGCAGATGATCCCGGATCATCTGTATGAGCTCAATACAACCACAAAGATCTGTATAAAAGTGAGGCAAGAGAGTCAAAGTCTGTAAAAGGAGATGTAATGATGGAACCAAAAGGTAAAGTCACATTCAAGAAGCCAAGAATAATTTTTTTTGTAGTTTTAAGCCATTAAATTGTGGTAATGTGTCACTATGGTAATAGAAAACTAACATGCAGAACAAAACCCCAGAACTGAAGCCATGGGCAAGCATGTGTGAAAGGTGAGGTTGTCTCTCTGGGGACAAACTGATTTCATATTCACTCACACTGCCTTTAAGTATAAGTGCCAAACACAAACAGCAAAGAACTTGCAAAGATTCAAGGAATATGTTTGTCATAAGCTCTTGCCAAGGAATCTACTAGAGGTTGAGCACGTGCACATCGCACCACAATCACAGAAGAAGCAGCACTTTGCAGCCTGATGGCGCAAATTTAAATATATCTAAGTGAAGAGCTAAGGTTGACAGAACAGTATTTAATGTTATGTGCTCTGAAATTATGAATACCATACAGACAAAAAATGAAGGTAGAAGGAAAAGGTATATGGAAGGTAAAGTAAATTCACTGACAGTTTATGCAATTACATACTTGTTTAAGGAAAAACTGGGAGTAAAAGACCATCACTTCAGATTAGATACTAAAGAAGGAAGGGAGTATGAAAAGCATTCTAAAGTTCTGGAAAATTCCATTCTTATTTAGAGTAGAAAATAAATCAACAGTATATAAAAATGTGGGACAGGATACATTTGACATAAAGATGAAGCATTATAACAAAATGTGAATCTTCCTCAACATCAAAAGATATTCCTGAAAAAAGCAAATAAAACCAACAACATAGAGAATGATGTTATTTATGTACAAGACACGTATTTGCACAAATATGACATAAAAGAATGAAATAGACTGTAAGAGTATGATGTTATTTATAATAAAGTTCAGAGCTTATCTCATTATTAAAAAAAGTTTTCATGTTAGATTTATACAAGTCTGTGTTTTTCACAAAAGAATGCAAATAGAAGAGATTTAGAGAGGGCTGGGGGTGTGGCTCACTATTAGAACTACGGACTAAAATGCATGGGGTGGGGGGAGAAAGGGGGAGGAGAGAGGGGGGAGAGGAAAGAAATGGAAGAGAGGAGAGGAGAGTAAATACAATCCCTACATAGACCTGTGACTATGTAAAGTTATATATAACCCATCTCAGAACAAATAAGAAAATGGAGGGCTGGCAGAGTGGGTCAAGTGGTAGAGCACTTGTCTAGCAAGAATAAGAACCTGAATTAAAACCCCAGTACCATAAAAAAAAAAAAACTGGAGTTTTTTTAGAGTTACCAAAAGTCATGCTCTTAAAAAAGGACAGAGCTAGGACTAAACCTTGGTTTAGTGCAAACTCAGTAGCACATGACACCTCATAGAGAAGGACACCAGAGAAGACACCATTCTCAGAATCCATGTTCCCTGCAGCTTCCAGGAAGAAGGGACTATGAGTGACTATCTCTTTTTACAGTTAAGTTTCTTGTTGTAAACTGGGGACTAGATTCGTGAATGCCAATCTTAGTCTCTGGACATGGCAGGTGTGAGACTGCCACTGAAGAAAGATCTGCTCTCACAGTAGCTCAGAGCCTTGGGTCTAAACATAGGATTCTTTATAAACATCTGCATCCATGGTAACCAGGCTGTTCCATCCCAGGCCATACCCACTTCATTTCCTCTTGGGACTTGCTAGCCTTTCAGTTTCATATTTTCCACATAGATGCTTCTTTCAAACAATATGTATGTTATTTTAGAGCCAAAATGGAAAACATATGCAAAATATAGAGATTTGATGAAAATGAAGTATTTGTTCACAGCTTCTGTGATGGATTGTAAAATTTCTCTTGAATAGAATCATCCTTTCACATCACATCAAACATAATAAAATGTACCTACATACCACTGAAACATAATTTTTTCTGAGAATGTTTGAAAAAGTTTTCATAATTTTGTTTTTGAAATTATGTGGGTATAAGTAGAACATTTACCTGATTTTAGCTATGACTTCTTTGCAATTACAAAAACTTCTTGAGGAAAAGAATCTATCTTCAAAGCTTCTTTTTTTAATTCTCTGATTTTTAATTTTTTTTCAAATTTCTTTTTTGTTTTATTTTGTTTTGGTGGCACTAGGGTTTGAATTCAAGGCCTCACACTTGCTAGGCAGGTGCTATTACCCCTTGAGCCCCTTCACCAACCCCTCAAAGCTTCTTAAGTCAAACATTTTATTAATACTAAATTTAACAATGGGTGAGATCTACAAAGTTTACTTCTAAACATTTAAGTGTTTATATATTTCTATTTTGCACATTGAAAAAAATTGGATACCCACAGAAAGGTATCAACCTCCAGTCTATTTATGATTCATACACTTTTGTTGGCTCTTACAATGCTCATAAGCTCCAGTCACATGGGCCATGGTGTGGAAAGTGGAATATTCAGGCTGAGGCCTCTAACCAAGAGCCCAAGAAACCAGGGAGTTTCCCATGGTTACAGATGGCAGGTGCACTATACTGCTGCCCCTGGTGGCAGTTAATACTAATGCCTCTAAAGAAGCTGCTGGAGGAAAAGACCTTTGTCTGGGATGGGAAGAAGGTTATCAGACATGGGGCAGGTTCAATATTGTGGCCTTGCACAGCAGCTCCCAGAGGAAGTGACCCTGAAACCTCAATACCGACCACCCCCAGTTTCCCTGAGCCACAGGACTGATAGTGTGTGTTTCTGTGTTTAGGAGGTGCCCTTCACAGTGCCACTCCCACTGGCAAACGGCTACCAATATCTGTACAGCTACCTCAATTGTCAGGGCTTTGGTTCTACTGCATGGAGATGTCATTGTGGGTACCTGATTACCTCACCTGCAAAAGCACATTTTGTCTCTACAGAGAGGCAGGGTGGTAAACATCTCATGGTTTTCCCTCTACAAGGCAGACAATTGCTTCTCTTGGGGTCCTGAAGTCAAAGCTATGGCCTATTCTTGTCGTAGCTGTGCGTAGAAACACTGTGGGTTTATCTCTGAGCACTGATGTGGACCACTCAGCTTTGTATGGCACATCCTCATTGTTCTCGACTTTTATAAGAGCTAAAAGTAGTAAGTAGCCTTTTTGCCACACCTCTACAAAGTGAGCAGGGATTGGGCTGGAGAAGGCACATCCTATTCTTACATATTTCCAGTTAACAGAGGGTTAAAAACTAAGAAATTAAAGAAGTCAAATGATTTTGCCTCTCGTGTCTACATGAGTGGTGAGAGACTTACAGACCTCCAAGGCCCATTTCTTATCAAGGAACTGAGGGTTAGGGGCTGGGCCTGTTGGAACAGACAAGATTTTACAACCTCCTACCCATCGTGGCTGAAAGGGGCTCTCAGACTTCTTTCTTGTGGCACTAAACATCTCTCCGGGGAACAGGCTCTCTATTCCTTGGTAATATCAGGCAGTTAAGGCAGTTTTGAGCCTCATGGCTTTGGGTGAAATGTGGAAGGGACCTTTTTCCAGTTTGACCTTACAAAGTGATGAAGTAGAGCCACCACTAATAGAAGTGCTTCTTGGAGAGGTGTCTTGGGGGGGCACCCATTAGAAGTTTCTACTCTCCTATCTAGAAAAGAAAAGTACACATCACAAAAGACACAAGCAAAGAGATGAATACCAAAAAATAATAC